ATTTTTTAGATCCTAAAGAGCTTAAATTGTAGCACAAGTTCCATAGACAACCCCAATCAAATAATGGTGAAGTCAATCCAAGCATACAAGCATGCAAAAAAGTCAATAAAACAAGCCAAATATAAAATAATAATTGTTAGTGCCGAGGGGTCGCGACATACCCTATAAAAGAAAAAGAAGACCAGACATAACATAAGTACACGTCTAGTCCAAATTCTATACATAAATGAAATTTAGAATTAAGGTACGGAAAATAGCTCCTAGTCCCTGTCACATGGTTCCACCCTCCTGACTCCTCGAAACTCGTGCACATACCTTATTTTTAATACACGACTCTCTTAGGGACTCTAAAATATACTTAGAAAAAATTTAAAAAAAGGACTCGACCTACATTAAAACAACATTAGCGGGAAAGCTAACAAACATGCGACAGATATGAGTCGAGTTTTTTTTATTGGGAGAGCTAAATAAAACCTTCAAGTAAAAAATTAATATAAATCATCATGTGCTTCCCTTTTAATGGTAATGTGTGTATGCATATACATAAGCACGACTCCCTACAAAAAAATGCCTTAATGTACTATCATGCACATCAAAATCAATAAACATGCAAGTATGTCAAAAGCACAAAAGGTGATAACTTGCTAGGACAACCAAACCAACAGAAAACTATAGTTAGGATATCGAAAAGACTATCTATCATCCTAAATCAAAGCCTAGAACACAATAACAGGAAGATGGGTCCTAAACAACATGTAAGTGATCAAAATAAGTCTTTGGGTATGTATGACTTTAAGGGGGTCACCACACCAGCCCCATCCTAAAAAACCAATGGATCTTAAGGATGTCACCCATGATGGATTTTGAAAAAGGGTTGGTCTTACATATGACCTAGTTTGCAACATGCATTTTAAATTTATGGCAGATATAATAAATAGGAAAATATTTTTTTTTGGTTTTAAAATAAGGGTCATTAAATTCACACCACTAACACGCAGGGTGACAAGAGTTAGATCCCTAGGATTATTAACACAATCATAATCATGTCAATATCGATCATTTAACTCATATTGCTCGTCGGGATCAACCCGACTAGCAATTTTCATTAAGACATCGCGACCAACACGGGATCACTCGTCATTCGTGCTTGACTTGCTATCCATGCATGTATACATATGCAAATGCAAACAATCATATGATAAAAGTGGTGAGGAGTGTGCCGTGAAGACGACGTCCTGAAGGGGTGGGCTTGTCATGGAGACAACGGCCCAAAAAATGAGTGTGTCGTCGAGTCAATGACCCAGAAGAGTGGGCGTGTCTTAGAGGTAGTGACCCAAAAAGACGAGTGTGTCATGGAGGCAGTGACTCGAGTGAACGAGTGTACCATGAGGGGGCAATGACCCAGGAGAATGATGATTCTGACTGGCTATAGTGATACAAGTGGGGTGAGTATATGAATGAATACTCAAAATGCAACTCAAACATATGATAATAACTATGCAAAATGTCATGCAAACAACACTAATGCACATGCAAAACACACATCATGCAAGTGATGTTAGTTGTTCGATCTGTTGAGTCGATTAGGGCGATCAACCCTAGGCAACATAACCAAGGGCTCAGTCGTGCTAATGAGATCGACATGACCAAAGTGGCTCGTTGACTGAGCCTGGGTGGCTAGTAGGACCAAAGTGACCGGTCGAACGGGTTGGGTCAGTCAGTCGAACCAAAGCGTATTGCCAATCGAGCTAAGTCAACGGGTTTAGGTAAGTGTAGTGGAAATGCAACATGTCAAACGTGTGTAACTGGCCAATAGGCATATGACCTTATCGATTAGTATCGGCCAACCAATTTGCCTAATGTGGGTGACCGGCCCACTACGCACCACAAACAAGGCATACACATAACTGGTCAATTAAAAGGCGTATGGTCGAGCCGACCAACACCATTCGACCAATTAAGTCATCCAGTAATGGACGATAAATTGAGCCAAACAATGTTGGGTGGCCAGTCATACCTGCCTTGTTTGGGCGACCAAATCTGCGGGCATACAAACATGCAATGCAATATATAAGATTCAATTATTTTCGTTCATTTCTCTTTTAATTTTAAAAGAGTCACCAGCCTGTCTATCATCATATACTATTCTTTTCCGAATAAGTCTGTCTTTCGGATGGTATAAATGATCAAGAGAAAAGAGAAATCAGAAAAGACGGACATACGATAAAAAATGACAAATAAGAGAAAGAACGTGAAAAGCCTATGTGCAATAAACTTTGCAAGGATAAATCAAGTATGTTCTGTCAAACAAGATTAGAATGAAGCACCTAGGACCAATAACCACGAAATAATACTTATGTAGACTACTCATAACCAGAGATTCAGGTGTTTTTGCCTGTCCTGAGGTTTAGAAGGATCCCAAAGAAACGTATCAATCTTAGTTAATTACATCTTAGGGGTTGCACAAGAATAGTCTTGATCCGCAAGAGTTTTGGTTAAATTAGTAATGACGATTAGCATAGAACTATCAACGAATGACATCTCGCAAAGGAATGCTCTTATGCTTTCCAAGCTCCCACTAAACCGTGAGCTTCTCGCGATCCCCACATGGGTAACAGACTCATTGGCATAGAGAGTATGCAAAGTAACTGAATCGTCCCAATGGAGAATCCCAATACGTCAAAGCAAAACCGGGTCATAAGGACGAAAGACAAATCGTCGTATCCTAAATGGGCGGTAGCTCATCAACAATCAGGTTGTCGAGCTGATACCAACCAAGGCAAAAGAAGTGGCAGAACTCAACATGAGTAGTCAAAGGAAGGGAAGAGTAATCCCTAGAGGTTTCCAAGTCAATGTACGATGGACCCGTCATCCCAAGCTACTAAGATTCTATATCTACCTGGTCATGAAGATAGTCGACACAACACATCCTGAGATCCCCAGTCAGCAATCTATGAATCGCGTTATCCACGGGAACCACGGTAGCTCTAAGGCAAAATGAATGAAAATCTATCCTATGACTATCAAGTGGAGCTCTAAGAGATGAAACTTATACCAACCAAAATAGTAAGGATGTCGCTAGAAATAAGGAGAAATGGGGGTTCAATTACAAAACTAGAAATGCTCCCAACAAAAGGACTTACACCTCATTTGGGTCAGGGAGTCTTCTAACGACCTAAGCACACTAAACAACAACATGAGTAGAAATTTGTGTTGGGCCAATCGGGTTGGAAAAACACGTGAGCTTCTTCTCGGGACATGCAAATGATGTAGTTATCTACCACGAACATGCAAATGATGCAAATTAATGTCTAACTGTTAGATATGTAAATACATAGGAATTGTGTGGTATGTATGTGAATCTCCCTTAAAAAATTAAGCTTTTGTGTTGATATATGTGTGTTATGCGCTTAAATTGAGTTTGCAAATGATCCAATCTCCTACAATAAATGTGAATTAAGGCCAATGAAATGCTCACCCTGCAACTTGGCCATCAACACGCCACAATTGCCAATTTTTTTATGATAGAGAAGTTGAGGGATCTTACCCACTCAAGCGTGCTAATATATGGTATCCAGATCATGATCCTCATTGTTTGCATACGATGTGTCGATCACCTATAAATCAGAGCTCGATATACTTTTCTTATTAGCTTGAGATGATGAGGCACAGCAGTTGGTACGTTATATGTGTAATTATTTGAATCCTGCTTGCAACGATGCCCCGAAAAATAGTCACATATAGAAACAACCAAACCTTCTTCCGCTAAATTTTTAAAATAATTTTTTTTTTTAATTTTTTTTCTGGATTGATTTCACAAAAAAATATTTAAAATATCAAAATCTTAATGTGGGTGAATTAATAAACTGTTGTACAACACATGTGACAGAAAGGTGCTACTAAATGCTGCTGTGGATAAGCTAGTTGTCTAATTATTTATTTCAGTTTAAAAATAGTTATGATATAGAAAATTTCTGGACAAATTATTTTTAAGTGATCACGTCGTCACAATTTTATTATTTTTATTTGACGTGACCACTTCATTCATTCTTATAAATACATACAAGTATGCAATATTAAAAAATCACATTTGTTCAACTCTATTTCTATGTGATGAATATTCATACAATGTTAGGATGTTAATATATTTCAAAAATTTTTATATTCTAAAAAAAAATTATAAAAAAATATTACATTAAAAATATTTTCAAGTTATAATGTCTTTAAACATAATGATAAAAAACATCACGTTTTTTACATCCATATCAAATTTAAGAGATTAATATAGTTATACTAATTCATATTTTTCAAATTCGATTAAAAATTTTGTACATCTAATTACGCTTATAAATTTAAAACAAGCTTTATAAAAAAATAATTAATACATTTTTTTCTTAATCATCGATTGCATTGCTTAATAAATATTTTAAAAAAAAACTATTCTAGTTCCTCATCGCTTTAGAAAAAAGGGATTATTTAAAAATTATATTTTTTGCTAAATATAAAATTATTGACATAAATTATATTCATTAGTTTAATTTAACCAATATATGTTTCTTTGACTTCTTTGTCTTTTCCATTCTCTTTAATGCTTAGCTGACCATTTCGGTTAAGTGTCGTGTAAGATGGTCCCTTCGTTTTTGCTCTGGTTGCAAATGATGCTTTCTCCAGTAACTGCCTCCTCTCATAAAACTAACTAAAAATCCAACCAAATAAACTCTCAAGATAAGACTAATCGGCATCATATTCTCCTCCTACAACTTGAAAAACATACAACAACAACAACAACAAGGCCTTAATCCTACTACGTGCGGTCAGCTACATGAATCCTTTTACTCCATTACCTCCTATTTATTGTCATATTTTCATTTAGTTCTAATAAATTACAACTTGAAAAACATAAATGCAACAAAATTATATTCCTAGAAAAGTTTTCTATTATTAATCAACATGAAGGGATCATATCTCCTCGCCAAAATAAGTGAAGTGATTCATTGAAATCAGAGACTCTCGTGAGAAATCCATCTTTCAAACATAGCAAAACATTCTAACGGCATTTTACCCGGTGCTACATGACTTCCACCCTGCAACCAGTTCATAAACACCAATGGAATAATCACTGTCAAAACAACATCCCATCATATTCTATATAAAACATTAAGGAGTTTCATACCTTTACAGTTGCAAAAGTTAAATTGTTTGAGAACAAAATGGTGTATCTGCAAATTCAAAATCATGAAAAAAAAAAAAGTTTCAGCCTTTTGAGAAAAAGAAGAAGCTTCAATAGAAAAATCACAAATTTAGTCTCCTCACCCTCCAACTTGTCCGCCAGCATGCCACGATCGCCATGGCTCCAAGACGGAAAAGTTGAAAGATTTTATCCACTCTAGCGTGCCCAAGAATGGAATCCTCAGATCATGATCACCACTCTAGAGCTCGAAATCCTCGAGTAATGAAACTATAGTGATAAGGTACAGTGCTTGGGACACTTCGTGTGTAATAATACGAATTCACATTGAAATCACAGCGGTGAAATCGTTCAGTTGTTCCCTTGAAATATATATATTATCACACAATTTCAAACATCTGAATTCATCACAGTGACGAAAACTAATTCATTTATAAGTACCTCCTTGACATGGAGTGCCTTTTTCACAAGATGGTGATTCCCCCAGTAATTGGCAAGAAGCTCAGCGGTCTAAGCATATTACTATTTCAGATTAGAACTAATTCTTTTAAGAAGCTTAGGAGCTATATTTGTAGCACACAGAAATGAAGGGAATGTGCAGAGCTTAACTATACAAGAAATATCAGGAATTGATGACAATGGTAAGCTGATGAACTCCTCTGGATTCTCCCTCAAAGACCTCATAGCTGACGTTGGAGGTTCATCAGAACATACGGGATCCAGTATATTATAAGAATTAATTTCTGATAGAAACTAAATGTAATTACAGTATGTCAGTTTCAATCCAACTACAGAAAAGAAAAACACAATGCGCTTAGAAAGAATACATTGCTCACCCCATTAAATGTCTCAAGATGAGTGGCACAAAGCACGTTTTGAGGCCTTATTAAGTCTTCTTCTCCAGCACAATGTGCCATTATCAGCTGAATATAAAGAAAGCTTCAATACCAACACATGAATAGAGGAAGAAATAGAAGTCGACAAAACCTGACATTGTTGGATTCAATGTTGTCCTTGTAATGACACCAAGACCCTACTACATATTAAGATCAAGCATAATGCAAAAAGAGAATTGTTGACCATTAAAAATAAAATGATAAATTACGTTTTAATTAAACTAAATGAATTAATAATAAATTACCAGCATATTCCACCCTCATAACCGTTCATGCGAAGCACTTTGATTTGAAGTAGAAAGATGCCTGATAGGCTCTGGTAACTAAAAAGCTTTTCCATACAGAGTCCGGACGCAGCTCTGCATGCGGACTTCTATAATATGCCCCAATTTTTTCCATACAGAGTCCGGACGCAGCTCTACATGCGGACTCCTATAATATGCCCCAATGCGTGCTATATCGAGCCCACCTAAAAAAATATTAAAGTGGAACCGTAGAGGTTATTGGAGTCGAACTACGGAGATTATTGGAGTGCAACTGCAGAGGTTATTCAAAGGGTTATTGGGGAGTTATTGGAGGGTTATTGGGGAGTTATTGAGGTATTAACTCCAATAACGCCGCAATAACCTTCGCGGTTCCACTTCAATAACTATCTGCAATAACTCTAGCAATAACCCCCAATAACCTTTACAATTCTACTTCATCAATAACCCTCAATAGCCCCACAATAACCACCGCAGTTCCAATTCAAGAATCCCCCAATAAGCTCTTTGGTTCACTTTAATAACCCTCCAACAACCTCTGTAATGTAGCACATGAGGCAGTATATTATTAATCCGCATGCAGAGCCATGTCCGGACTCCGTATGGAAAATTTTCTCCTGGTAACTGCTCGCAATCTCATTCATACCTCTCAGTCTCTTCTTCCCTCGCCTATTTGAAACCCAACTTGTCTCCACACACTATTCAACATAGAAGCTGCACAAGACTTCAAAAAAGCCTGTCTATTCGAGAGTGGGCCAGTGGAAAACTTGTCATGTGATAAGTGAGCCCCATTGTAATACACTGGTTAGGGGCGATTCTTAAAAAAATATTAGGCTCACTTGTCACATGGCAAGTTTTCACTAGACTCCGGTTCTGAAACAATATTTTTTCTGTTTATCCACCGTCCCCTTCCCATTCCACTGCTCTCTCTCTCTCTCTCTCTCTCTCTCTCTCACACACACTCTCAGGCTCTCTAGGTCGTGACACAATTGTAAGCACCTTATTTTTTTTTTCTTTTTCGTTTCATTGTTTTTCTTCCTCTGTGTACGCAACTCAACCCTTCGCCTAGCGAAGCTCGCTTGCAAGAAGCATTGTTTCTTCCGCTCAGCCCTAACCCGAGCCCCTCAATCTTCCTTGAATCAGAACAAAGCCAACTCCCCTCCTTCCCTTGAAGCCTTCACACGATCTCTGCTCTTCCCAATCGTGTGAAGCTTCCGCCTGTTCTTGTTATGATGACTCTCAATTAGGAGAACTAAGACAACGCCGCAACTTATAAGGAGGTTTCAATAGCTAAAGGAGATAACGGTCATTTGGCTATGATAGGGGTTGAATCAGTCAACTTGAGAAGAGTCATTGTCTATATATATAATGATGTATGTGAGATGACAGGGTTAAGGGAGAAAATCTAAGATTAAAGAGAGGAATCAAGAAAGCTTGTATCGAGTGGAAGATCGAGAGAGTTTTGAAATATGGTTCATCTCTGGAATTGAGCGGTGTAATCGTTATGATTGACTTAGTGAATTTATTTCTTGATTTCCTCCCATGGATGTAGGTCTTTTGGACTGAACCAAGTAATCTTGGTGTTCTTGATTGCATTTTTCTTTTAGTTCCTTTTCTAGTTTGTTGTCCTACAGATTTTCTAGAGAAGGTTCTTCAACAGTTCTCCCCACACAAAGCTGAAAACTTCTTCTCCCTATTCGCCAACCTCGCTGGCGATCTAACCAGAAACCTCTTTCGCTCTCTGCGATTGATACTCCCTGCCGCTCCTCCCCAGCCACTGGAACGCGATAACCCTCTCTTCCCTAGCCTACTTCGTCTTTCTCGCAAATCGCACAAAGGAAGAAGGCTTGCTTTATTCAAACCCAAACATTTCTCCACAGTAGTCGCTCAATCACTACACTAAAACCCCACTCTCTGTCGCTTTGCCTAAGGCCCAATTCTAAATGTTAAGTCCAGCCACACACAAAGTAGAGCTCGACCCGTTAAATCTTTAGCCTTTACTAGAGTCTTTTCGGCACATTTTTACTATATTCATTTGTTTTTAGTGTTGTTGTGTATTGTCCAACAAAAAATCAATTCTATTTGTTAATAGCGAGGACCATCAATGATTTCCTCTAGTGAGAACCCATAGCAGGCTCAACAATTAGACTATTAGCTTCCCCTGTAGGCAGCTTGTTGACCTCAATTTTGTTTGAGGCTTAAGTTTTTCCTCTTTAGTAGCCTAGTGTCTAGCCATAGGACTTTTCCTGTTGAATATTCCTAGAAACTAGACATGGAACCCTCACCATTAGAAATTTTACCCTCTTCCTTACTCATCTTGAAGTTTCACATGTTGGTCTCAACCTCTAGTACTTAGTAGGTGGGTCATTGTGGGGGAAACTCAAGATGAGTCACCCTAGGACTGCTGGGCCTTAGGGTTGACCTTGGGTGTTGGTCTGGAGCTAAGGCACTCACTACACTCACTACACTCATATACACCCATAATCACTCACAACCCTAAACTCAAATTTCTAGCCTAGATCCCTTGATATTTTGGGATACTCATGTAGATGGTCCCTTAAACATACTAGCCCTAGGGCTATGGTTTAGCTAAGATTAAATAGAATAAGAAACACCTTATAGAGCTCTTTAGAAATAATTCCCAATCCATAAGCATGTGGAGCTTGAGAGCTTGTATCAACTTTATCGCCTGTTACAGCATTACCAACTAGATAACCCTGAAAATTATCAAAAAAGTTTGAAACTTCGACAAATTTATTCCACCAACGCTTATAAGCATTTGTATAAAAAGCATATGTAATGATAATTTTTGAGATACAATAAAACTACATCAAGTAAATACCTTGATATTGATTAGAGGCTTCTCACCACCTTCATTTCCTGTGTTCAACATAAAACATAACTGATGCCTTAGCGAAAATAAATTATAATATGCTTTTGTTCATATAGAATCTTTTGGCAAAAAAATTCACCTTCAACAACTTTATGAGCAGTTAGCACAGTTATCTTCCCACCATACGAATTACCGCCCATGTAGAAAGGATTTGAGAGGAAACTTGGATGATCAAGGAACCACTACATTATTTCAATAATGTATATAATGTTGTGAGAGTTATAAATACAACACAGTTCTAAAGTAAAATTATGAATTTTAAATTGTAGAGCCTCATTAATGCCGCCCTACAAAAAAAACAACTAGCATAAAGACAATAAGTTGATCAATCTTGTGAAATAAATTAATTTTCGAAAGTATTTATGAGTAATTTTATTAAGAAATTGACATTAATTGTTTGTTGTGAGAAGCCTATGACATCAATAAGCATTGGAGAATTTCAAAAGTATTTATGAGTATCTTTATTAGGAAATGGACATTAATTGTTTATCAGGAGAAGTATATGACATCGCGTTAGTGGGATATATGAATCATGAATCAAACTCTATTTATCAGTGTTGAAAATAGTTGTACAACCTTATTTAGATTATTGAGAGCAAATAAATTAAATAAAATAAAACATATAAAACCCATATTTTTTATGTAGATTCACTCAAATAATAACTACATGTTTTCTGTCACTGTAGTTCCACTATCATTATGTTAATGAAATTTTACGAGATATGATTCACATTCTCTTGCCTTCTTTGGCTCCGAAAATTCGAAATGGTTTAACCTTTCACGAAGATGCGAATGAAAGAATCAGGAATGAGGGAAGTTTATCGTGAGGTTTCAGATCGAATTTTTAGAAGATATATGAGATAGTAAATAAAACACTATCTAGAGATTTCACCCTCATTCTACGAGGATCATAAGATATAGGGTTCTAAATTTCTCATAGACACAAACCCCTAAGGTTAATTACCCCTCCCGATAGTGAGAGGGTACCTTTAATTAAGGCTAGTCATAAGGGAGTTGATTAGTCAGCGTATAGTATAAGCAAAATAAAGTTTAAAGTTTATTAAATCATCATCACTGTGAGCTTTAGCGTATTGTAGAAGCAGAAATGAAGTTTATAGTTTATTAAATCATCATCAATATGAACTTCAGAGCGAATTATGTGGGAAATGATGATGCACCCCTTTAAGATGTCATGGTTATGTCATCACGGGGAGTTATGGACCCTAGTCTACTAGGCAGATGAGGTAGTCTACCAAACCTGACAAAAGAATCCTTGTCAGCAACTGTTTCAGAGGATTAAAGATTCTTGAGGAAAGACAAAAAAAAAAAGCCAAATTATATATATTTACTAAGCATCATTGTACAAAGGGTGAATGCAAGACAAGCTAGAAAGAAATATATTATGAATTTATGCATTTTTTCTGTTTGAAAATTATTGTTCTAGAATTTTTATCATCTCTTGGGCAAATATTAGTATAGAATGTGTTGCAGATGAGTGTGCAAAAAGATACCATCATTTTCTCATATGTATAAAGATAAATGATGGTGGATGGTGATGGATGGTTTGTTGCTTTTTAGCTTTTTAGTGAGAAACTTTTCATTTAAATATCTTTGAATCTTTATGAATTTAATATTTAAGATTTTTGAATTTTGATCGGTGGATTGGAACGAGATGCTTATTTTTTGTCTCTTTAATTGGATTATTCATTTAAGCATTAAAATATGTTTAGTTCTGATAATTACAGTTCCAATTTGGAGGAGGATCATATTGGCTTTGTGGGAGCCCAATCTTGTCCACTTCGGTTCACTTAGGGAAAGGGTTCAAACCAAGATGTGAGACTTTGACCTTACCCTTTAAGAAAGGTAGCCCATTTGAGATAGTCTTATTCAGTATTTCAATTTGAATTTTAGAAAAGATGAATTTTTAATAATCTTTTGAAAGACAAGTTCTCGAGATGAGTTTAATTTTATCTTTAAAATGTAATTAACCCGCTCGACATTTTCAGAATTTAAGATTTGGAAGCATATAACAAGTGACATAGCACATGCGGTTATTTGACTACGTGGATATTTTAAATTTTATATTTTGGTATTGCAGGATTGTATTTTTAGAGAAATATATGCAAATATTTCATTTTGAGCCCTAAACTTTGCCATATGTTTGCTTTTGAATTTGTATTGTGGATTCGATAAAGATATCGGTGCAAGCTTCATTTTGAACCACTTACGTCGCCTTTTGCTGCTTGTAGAACTGTTGCAGATCCGGCGGCAATTGAAATATTCTGGACTTTGTGAACCACTTTCAAATTATGTTTCTCTCACACACTTCGATTTTACTGAAAATGCCCAAGTGCATCCCCATATTCATAGTGCGTGACTCTAAATGCTTTGACTAAACAATAGTTTCATCCATATTTATAGAACTAGTATTTCTATCACAGGTTCCATTTGAGCTCGTTGAAGAGTCATTGAGTCCCCCGTAAATAGTGTGCATATTCTCTTTAATGCATAATTTACCATTATAATGAACTAACATTAAAAGTTTCACTGAGCAAATTGAAAAGTCGTTGAATCCATTGAGAATGCCAAATTTCATATTGTGTTTGTTATTATAGGAGTGGTGTAGATCAGATGACGATCGATATATTTTAGACTTTCATTATGTATTTTAAAATTATGCAGCACTCCCGCACTTAGACTTCACTTAAGTGCTCAAGTGCACCCCCATAATCATAGTGCATGACTCTAAATGCTTCTGCCAAATAACAAAATGCCTCATTTATATTTATAAATGATGTTCATCACATGTTCTATTCGAGTTTTTTGACGAGCAGTCCAATCCCAAGTAAATATTATGTAGATTCTCTTTAATGCATCATTTACCTTTATAGGTGAACTGGTGAGTTAGTAATAAGTTTCATTTGAGTACGTTGACGAGTCGTAGAATCCCATAAGTATGCAAGGTTTCATATGTGGTCCAAAAATTTGACTTCTATCTGCTATTACAAAAGCGGTGCAGATCCGTTGGTGAATTATGAGCAAAACTTCACTTTTAACCACTTTTAACCACTTTCGATTGACCTAGTACCATTTATGATCTGCTTATTGAACAAATTCATCTTGTCGCTCAGAAAATAAGACAAAATTGCCACATGGATATATGAGTGGCTTTGTCGCTGTACGAACGGTTAGTATATTATATATGTCAACAAAATTATATGTTTTATACATACAACCTAATATTTTTTTTTCTTCTTTACAGAAATGATTTTATTAACATAATTTCACCTGATGCAATGACTCACATGATGAAGTGATT